AATCAGAGTGCTTAATTTCCCTACACAAGACTCAATGCTCATTAATCACCCATCAATGCCAGCTGAGTCTCCCTACCTTGACAGCAAGCTGTTTGACTCAAATTTGTTTCCATCTTCATAACCCTTAGCCCAAAGATGGAAGCACTCAGTGAGTGCTTAATAATGCCTGCATAATAGATTGAGCATAGTAATATTATACATTGAGCATTTTCTATTTCAATTTAGAGACCCAGTCTAAGTGCTAAATTCGAGTCTTATTCCTTAGTTCCTGGCAGTGAACAACCCAACTGGAGGACAGTAATGACATTTCCTACAAAATAGATTATGTGAATACCAGGGCCAAGAGATACTTTATAATAAAATTTCAGCCACATTAAAGAAAAAATTAGCACTTTTACCTTCACTTCCTTCTCTTATAGGTCAAAGGTGTTACACAAATATAAAATTATAAGATTAGTAAATGTGTCAGAGATTTTTTTCTTGAAACATTAAGGTGAATTTAGCAGGCAGAGTAGTTTTATATTATGAGAACTCAAATATAGGTAAGAAAATCAAGCTATGTGGGGAGCATGTCACTTTTCATATAACTAATAACCACCAGTATTCAATATACTACTCTCAAAAAAAGTAAAAGGGATAAATGAAACAGTTGCCTAGAAGATGATGATGGTGATGATGGTGGTGGTAGTGGTAAAGAGTTAAGATACATCTGTCACTTGCTAAGTACTTTACATGTATTTCCACATTTAATTCGTACTGCAACCCTATGAAGTACAAATTATTGTTATTTACATTTACAGATGAGGAGATTGGGGAACGAAATCGTTAAATTGCCACAGTACCCTAACAAGTATCTGATTCAGGATTCCACCTCTTGGAGTTCGTCTGAGAAATGCAAGTTTCAGGGCTAAACTCTTTCATAACAATAATCACTAACATATATTGAACACCTGAGATGTGCCAAATACTCTTTCATGCTTTTCCATGTATTCATAGGTGTGATCTTTGCAATACTAGTATTCTCACTCCCCTATCTTACAGAGAAGGAAGTTTGCGAAGGTCACATAGGTAGTTCTTAAAGAGTCACACTGGGGCAGTCTGGCTTCTGCACTCATTTTATAAGTGGCATGCTCTATTCCTTTCCATGAAAGGAAAACAAGTACAGAAGCTATGCTTTTAACTCTTGTCCATCCCTCCCACGCTAGACCTGCTTATGACTTCCTCATTGCTAGCCTGAATTACTTCAACAGCCTCCTCACTGGCCTCCTGCCTTCAGACTTGTCCCACTTAATCTATTTCCTCCACACAGCATTTAAGGTAGACTCTAATAAGAACCCACCTGAAAAGCAGTTCTATCTTTAACTCTGCCCTGACTAAAACCCTTCAGCTGTTTGCCACTGCCCACAGCAAACTCCTTTAAACTGCCCAATTTAAATTCCTTTTAATTGCCCAACAAGCCATTGTGACCTATGTAGACCTTATTCCCTCTTTGACCTCACCTCCCTACACTCCCTTTCTCACTTCCCCACAGGTCATCCTCCAACAGCTCTGAATCGTGTGAAGTTCCCCACTAACACTATTTTTTGCCTGCTCGGGCTTATTTTCTCACTGGTCTTCCTGTGTGGAACCTATTTCCCCACGACCATCTTCCGTTTTGTCTCACTTCCACCAATCCTTTAACGAATCAGCTCAAGCGAGTCAGTTCAAGTGCTGCCTCCTCCAGGAAGCCTCCTCAACTCCTCTTACCAGTAACTGCTACTAATAGTTGGCTGATTCCATTGGTCATTCAAGTGGTCTTGCAGCCCACTAGTAACCACTGATGCTTCCACACTAACTTCCTCAGAAAATGGCTCATGCACTGTATCTGTAAAATCACGCTGAGTCTTTTGAAGACTCTTTGTTTCCAAAGTGTTTTCAGGTGTATACTAATAATAAAGCTGAAGCTGATGTTGTTGTAACTTTTTTGGGAATACGTGACATCTAGTAAAAACTAAACAGAACTATAAATTGCCTAGCTGATGAAAATCCTCCACATATCCCTTGAGGCTGCTTTACAGATCTTTTATAACTGGCTCAAACAGCTGCAGCATTCTCAAAAAAGGTATAGCACTTACAGTTAACTTTTTAACTAACTTTAATAGCAAGAATAGCTAAAGAAAGCAAGCACCTGGAAATTCTCATATCCAAGTACATTTGTGGGGAAGGAAGTGAGTTAACAAGATATCTGCAAAGTTGAGCTATTGCATGTTATATAAAAAACGGACATGTACATGAGGGTTACTGGACGTTGGGAACAACTTGAAATGTCTTTCTCCATATTGGAAGTATACATATGCCCACTGTTATGGGACTTTAGATATCACCCCTAATTCATGTTCCCCGTCATCCACCACACTACTGATAGAAACCATAGCCTTCAATGTAAGAAGGACATAGGCTTTCAGTTTCGAGAAAAGTGGACAGTTGTTGATATGCATGATCTCAGTTTACACTTTGTTACTGATGGCACACCCATGTAAGAGACCAAGGCCGACTTAAAGAATATGTAAATTAATTAGGTTTTAATTATTCTAAAATTGGATAAGATCTTGACACAATGTATGTTAGTTACTCACTCCAAGTTACTTGCTTCCCAGATGTGAGAAGAGAAATGCCTCTATTCAACCCAGGAGATAAGCCGAGCCCTGGGGCGACAGCTTTATATAAATTATCAAGAACACTTTCTTCCTGACTTTGACAATCCAAATTCTACCTGCCTTCAGGTGCCAATTCAAACTTCATGTCATCAGGAAATTTGAGCCAACCCTGATGCTCCCTTTATTTATTCATTTATTCATTCATTCATTCTTATTCTACAATATGAACATATGATGCTCCCTTTTTAGCCCGGGGCTAAGACGTAATCTTCTGCTTAGCCATTAGCCTCCATAAGGCATGCCACCGAGGGCAAGCCATAAGAAAGGACCCAGTGCTCTGCTGGGTGTGTGTGGGGGACATCTAGGAGCGCCAGCACCTGCAGTTCATCGTGTCAGTAAAGTTCTGAGATGCTTCATGACCTCGTATTTCTTAAAAGGGAAAATATCTTTCCTGACTGGAACCTTTAAGCCAATCCAAGTATCAGAGTGCAGATGGTTCTTGGAAGGTGAGCCACAGGCCACGCGTTTAAAAAGCTGGCATTCATTATGCATTGACCCTAGGTCAGGCAGTGATTAAGAACTTCTGTGTATACCTCCACTGAATCTCCATCACAACTCCCAGAACTAAGTGTGATTACAATTCCATTTTACTGGTAAGGCATAAAGGAGACCTACTGCGAGTTCCCACCCAAGGCCCTTCAGGTTCCATGTGGTAGAGTCTACATTTGAAGCCAGAAGACTGTCCTTGGTCTCCCTGGCTTCATTCCTGTTGTAGACAAAATTCTAAGATGACCCCAAGGTTCCTGAACTCTGGTGTACATTCCCTGTATAATCCCCTCCCCTAGAGTGTGGAAGGGATTCATGAATATTATGGGATCGTCATTCCCATGTTTAGGTTACTAATTAGTTTTCTTTGGTTTAGCAAAAGAGATTATCCTGGGAGAGCCTAGCCTAATCTATGGAGCCCTTTCAAAAGATGGTCAAGCATTAAAGTCATGCTCTCCTAATAAATTTAAAAACTCCCTCTACAGTAGAGAGAATCATGTGGCAAGGAACATCGGGTGGGGGCAAAGAGTAGCCCCTGGCTAAATGGCCGGCAAGAAAGTGAAAATATCCATTCTATAATCTCAAGCTACTGAATTCTGCCAACAACCACAGGAGCTTGGAAGAAAACACTGAGCTCCTCAGAGGAATAAAAACTGGCCAACACCTTGATTTAACCCTGGTGAGGCCCTGGGCAGACAACCTATCTAAACCATGCTCAGAATTCTGACCCATACGAACTTTGAGATAATAAATTTTATGTTGTTATACACCACCAAATTTACAGTAATTTGAGCTGTAGTAATTTCTGCAAAAAATAGCAATGGAAAAACTAATACCATTCCCCTAACTTTCCTTCCATCCAGTTCTAACTCAGCTCCTGAACCTTGGCTCAGCATTCTCTTTTCAGTTCAGCCCCTTCCACTTGGCCTTGAAGACTATTTCCTAGACTCCAAACTCGGCTTGGAAGTTCAGGGCTCAGTTCAGGCACTATCTGGCTATTTCTCCAGCTTCCCTGATCCTCTTTCCAGGCTCTGGACCCAATCTGGCACTGACCTGTTTGGCCTGAGCTTCCCTTTTTTATGGGGCATTCCAAGCTTGAAACACATGATTGGGTGCAGGACTTTCTAAACAATATTAATCAAGCTCCATAATAAAGACCCATTAGAAACCTAAAGCACTGAATTAGATCTCTAAGAGCCATTAAAAATTAGTTTTTCAAGAGGGAATTTGACACAGAGCTGCAAAAAGAAGAAAGGGGTATAGATTTGATTTTGGGCTCCCTGTCTCCCACTTCATATGAATTAGGTCTAGTTGGTATATTTCAGAGCAAGATTTTTTTCAAAACAGAGGCTGTACTGCTAATAAATAAATAAAAGTCTGGCAACCATTGGTGTCATAAAAGTGTAGCACTAGCATTGTCTACTGTGTGATTGTGAGGAAAACATCTAAGCTATGTAAGCTTCAGTCCATTCTTCTCTGAAATTAATAGGTGGGACAAAATGATCTCTAAAACTCCCTCCAGCAATAATATCCTATGATTGAAAGATTTTTAAAGCCTAACGTTTTGCAATTGGTAGAATTTCTTTCTTTTATTTTTACTTGTTTTTCTTTTTGAGATAGGTCTTGGTTCGTCATACAGGTTGGAGTGCAGTAGCACCATCATGGCTCAGTGCAGCCTCCACCTCCCAGACTCAAGCAATCCTCCCATCACAGCCACCTTAGTAGCTGAGACTACAGTTGCATGCCTCCATGCCTTGCAAATTTTAAAAAAAATTTTGGAGAGACAAGGAGGTCTTGTTATGTTGCTTACACTGGTCTCAAATTTCTGGGCTCAAGTTATCTTCCAGCCTCAGTCTCCCAAAGTGCTTGGATTACAGGCATAAGCCTCCATGCCCTGCCACAGTTGGTAGAATCTCTTGATCTGAAAGAAGCTTAAGCTAATGAATGACTCAGGAAGAAGGTTCTCACCCCAGCCAAGACCAAAGAGGGTCATGTCTTTCCATTTGGCTACCTGGGTCCCAGAAGGGCCATTTGTCTTCCTTTAAAAACCACAAGGGTACACATGGAGGGTTTTGGCTGAGAGATGCAGAGGGTAGCCTGGATCCTGACCAAATGATGAGCTGCCTGACAGAGCCTGCTGACCACTAACTGCCAGATACCCTAGGATCAGGGAATGCAGTAGAGAAACTAAAACCAGCTTTGAGGAGGAGGAAAGAACACAAAATAATAATTGTAGGTCAGGAGCTTAATTTGGAAAAAATGAAAATAAAAGCAGTGCTTTCTTGTAATTTGTCTTTGTCTTTAGACTTCCTTGAAGAATATCCTTCCAAGGGTGTGTGAAAAGAGGGCCTGCATTGTGGGCAGGCTGAGTGGGCAGGTGCATCTGCAGAGAGGACTCTGGGAAGAAGAAGGACTTTCTGTTTCCACAAATAAGCATACCATAAGTATTTCTCTGTTGCCAGGAATCATTTGAAATTAGGTTAAATCCCATTATTTTGCAGAGAAGTAAGCTTGAAAATTAAAATCTTCCTGGAGGAGAAAAGTCAAAAACTAAGATTTAAGTGACTTACGGTGAAAAAGTTCCAAATATCAAATTTTATAGAAAGCAGATGTGTGTGAGAAGGAGCACTGCTGATTTAATGCGTGTATATTTAGGGATCGTGCTATTTACTCTAGGCCAGGTTTTTCTATTTGCTGGCAAATAGCAGGGTAAGGATTCAATCCTAGGTCTCCCTGAGTCCACAGCCATGTTTTCCTTTCTACTATTCTTCCAAAGGACCCCAGAATAGAGTGTGTTATAACAAAGTGGGAGAGTTTTACAGAAACCAACCTCCAGAAAAATTTTCCAATCTTGAGTTCAGCATTTCAGTGCACTGAACACTACTTGTACCCCATGCAACTCCCTGTAGATTCCTTTCCAAGTATGGTGTGTTCATCACCCACCTTCCATATACTTGGTACCTGCACCCCTTTAAGGATGGTCTTTTGTAACTTATGCTCCAGAGCTCCTTTCAGGATAGAGCTGAGTTCAGGTAAAAGCACACCTTTGCTTGGTTTTCCCTCCATGTCCAATTTTGCTTCCTCTACTCCCTTAGGGGTTCCTCCTGAATGAACATTCATAAGAAATCCTTTGCACCTAAGTCTTTCACTGAGCACTGTTTCATGACGAATCCAAGATACAACTTCATGAGAGAATTGTAAAGAAATGATATGGCAGCTTCCTTGTTATTTTATCTTATTTAATGAATTTCTCTTCCATTGATTCTTTAAGGAGTTTCTAACCCCAGTTCATATTGTTTATGTTATTGAGCTGGTAGAGAACGAAAGCAGTTCTCTGACCATGTCTTTCAATGTGTCACACTTAATTCTGAAGCAAATGTCTAGAGGATTGGTTAATAATACAATGTCAGCTTTTCTCATTTCGGTTATCAGTTCAAAAGAATATGGCTCTATCTTTCAGAAGAAAAGAGTTACAATGATATATTTTTGATTGTGCAGGCTCAAGTTATTCTCTTTCTGAGATGGTGAAAGCATCCTGACTGCTTCACATAATGGGACATATACTGGTCTAAGCAATCAAGTGTATAAGGGATATAATCATTAAGATGTAATTGTTCCTTGTATCAGCATTATGCCAAATAAAGCAGAAATTGCAATCTTTGGACCTATTCAGTTTTCCATTAAGCAGAAGACTAAACTGAAATAGAGGGATGTGATATTTAACAAGAATCCCTGTCTGGCTCAAGAGATTCATTACATTTGAATTCATCTTAGAAATAAGGAATCAAAGTGAACCTGACCAAGTATATAGACATTCACTCTTCTTACCTGTAAATCAATCAATCAATCAATCAATCAATCAATCAATAAGAAGAAAAACAGCAATCTAATCTTGTCAGAAAATAAGCCTCCTGGAGGAGAGATAATAAGCTTGAAGCTTTAATGAAAAATAGCCTATGAAAATAAATGAGGGATCATGGCGCAGGGGCAGCGCAAGTTCCAGGCGCACAAGCCCGCAAAGAGCAAGACAGCAGCGGCGGCATCTGAAAAGAATCGGGGCCCGAGAAAAGGCGGTTGTGTTATCGCTCCCAAGAAGGCGCGCGTCGTGCAGCAGCAAAAGCTCAAGAAGAACCTAGAAGTCGGGATCCGGAAGAAGATCGAACACGATGTGGTGATGAAAGCCAGCAGCAGCCTGCCCGAGAAGCTGGCCCTGCTAAAGGCCCCGGCCAAGAAGAATGGGGAGGCTGCCGCCATCTCCTCCAAGACACCTTCCTGAGGACGCTGGCCCCAGCGCAGGCCAACACCCCACCCCCCACCTCCATGTGGGATCTTACAAGTGATCCTACAGGCTGCACTGGCAGGAAGAGGACCCCATCCCCCAGCACTGGGCTTCACCTAGAACTTGAGTGGGGGCCAAGAGTGCTGAGAACCCAGCAATGACCAGGAAGATACAGTCACCAGCTTCATCTGTCCCCATGCCCCTTCCCAGGTCCTGCCTCCACAGGTTTAACCCAGAACAATAAACCCGGCTTTGTCATGAAAAATAAAAATTAAAAATAAAAATAAAGAAAATAATGAAACAAAAAAAATGTATATTGCAGAACAAAGTTCCTGAAGTCTATAGGGCTGCCACGTTGCACAACTTGAGGCAATGTTCTGTGCACCTCTACCCAGTACCCACTGAATCTAGGACCCTTTGTACATTTTGTAAGGAAGATGGGGAGGGAGAGAGAAAGTGGGAAAGGAAGTACAAGGCACAATTGCAAAAAGCTATCTTTAAAAGTTTGAATGTATTCCGCTGCACACTACTCTCCAATCTCTGAACGACAGATAATTTTTCAAAGTCCTCTTTCTCTCTGGATCATTGAAGTATTATGTAAAGAAATTCAAATTGGGTATTGGATCATCCATTAATGTTTGGCAAATGACAGGCACTTAACTGATGTTTGCTGGGTCAATGAATATATGGGTAAAGAAATGGATGGAAAGATGGGTAGGTGGATGGGTGGATGGACGAATGAATGAGTGGATGGATAATAGATGGATGGGTAAATGAATGAATGAATAAATGGATGGTGGATCATGGCAGGGAGTTGTTAAAAGAAGCAGCAGGAGGAAGAGTTTTGAGAACAAAATAAAAAGAGTAAACTTTTATTCTGCATTTTTGTGGATCCCATTCTCAGAGAGCTTCTGTCCTTTTGATCTCTGTACTCTTTCTTTTTTATATATTAAAAAGTATCTACTTATTTATTCTTCTGGGCTGCATAATATGGCTAAACACTATGATTTGTAAATATACTCTTCTATTTTGGAAAAATTTTAGTCATATTCCATTCTTCTACTACATAAACATTTTTTGCATTTGGATTTTTCCTATAATAAGTATTTAAGACTTACATGGCAAGGATTTATGTGTTTTTAACAATCTAAAGCTGAGTTCCTTTTATGTTTTAACCTTTTTTGTTGTAGAACATTTCAAACATACACAAAAGTAAAAAGAAAAGCATAGTGAATCCCCACGCAGCCATCTTGCGGTTTCAATGTCAACATTTTGCTAATCTGTTTTTTTTTTTTTTGAGATGGAGTCTCACTTTGTCACCCAGATTAGAGTGCAGTGGCATGATCTCAGCTCACTGCAGCCTCTGCCTTCCAGGTTCAAGCAATTCTCCTGTCTCAGTCTTCCCAGTAACTGGAATTACAGACACTCACTACCACGCCTGCCTGAGTTTCGTAATTTTAATAGACAAGGTTTTGCCATGTTGGCCAGGCCAGTCTCGAACTCCTGACCTCAGGTGATCCTTCCACCTCAGCCTCCCAAAGTGCTGGGATTACAGGAATGAGCCACCACACCTGGCCATGCTAATTTTGTTTTAATTAGCTATAGCTCCTTTAAAAAAAAAAAAAAAAATTCAGGCCAATGATACTATGAAGCAACCACACAAACAAGCCTGCACTCTTTCTAATCAAACATGCTTTCAAGAGAGGAACTGATAACTCATTCCCATGAAAATATGAACATTTAAAAAAAAAACCTGAATAATGTACAAACAAAGCAGAATCTTGAGCATACATCCACTAAGTTCACTGCAGCATAGATACAGCACATCACCAGGGGGCACCATTCACATAGAATAACATGAGAGCTGTACGCCTTCAGAATGATAAAATATGGTGGCTTGGTTTATATAATAGTTTGAGAAATACCTGGTAACTCCTTTCCCGGCTTACTTCCACTTTTATAGGGGCCAGAGGAATCATTACATAAATATGGAATATTGGCCATCAATAAAGGGACAGAGTAGGGAAATATTATGGAGACAGCCCTTTCTAACGCTCTTGAAAAATTGCCCCACATAGACTTGTCTCTATCTATGAACAGGGCAATTGAGAAATCACGTTACTTACTGGTTGATAGACACCTTTATTTTAAGTGCATCTGGGTTATATGTGAGTGCAAACTGACTGCCTTGAATGATTGGGAGGGTATTATTTTATGCTGTGAATTTATCTACCTCACAGAGCTGTAAATATAGCTCCATAAGTCAGAAGCCAATTAATCAAAACCCGACTATTTAGCAAGAAAAGTGTTACATATTCCAATCCAGCACCCCCAAATATATCAGGGATGATGTGAAAAACAGGAATTCAAACATATTAAGAAATCGGTAAAAATGTTTTCCAATTTAAGAGAGAGATGGGGCATGGAATGCTGAATGCTGGCAGGAATGCCAGGGTGGCCTTTGTGATGCACCTTTATCTGAGCAAGATACACTTGGGTGGGAAAACAATGTGAAATTTTTACTGGATGGTCTTTTCTTCTTCCCCTAAGCATATAAAAAAGCATCTTCATGTGTTCACTCTAAATAAGCAATATGCTGAAAGGGTCTTTTAGAATGTACATTTGGGAGAAAGGTGAGGGCAGCATGGAAATAAAGGAACATTCAAGATCAAGGTACTCTTTGTTAGGGAAATACATATGAGATTACAATTGGCCTTAAGAAAATCATTATAAGGACACATAAAAGAAGGGTGAAACAATAGGCATTCAGTCAGTCACAGGTTATTACATAAAATAATTGCTCCACTAAATCAGTAATAGCTCAGCTAGGCTCATCTAGAACGTCATGTAGGCCACGGCAATGACCAACTATAAAGGGGCTCCCACTGGTTTTGTGCAAGTCTACACTAATGGGAGTGGGAGGGAAATCTTTTGTTAGTTACTTGAACAAAGACAACTTGAGGTGTGGTTGTGCACAGACTGCTTTTTGTTGTTGTTGTTTGTTTGCTGTTTATTAGCTAAGAGACTTGATACCCTGTTCCTGGAAATTAGAATTGCATTTATTTTTTATTGTTGGATAACAAATAAATAGAAATATAGTGGCTTACAGCAACCCCCATTTATTATCTCAGTTTCCATGGCTAGGAGTTCAGCATAGAGTAGGTGGGCTCTGGGCACACGGTTTCATGAGGTTGAAATTAAAGTGTCAGCCAGGGTCTGATCTCATCTGAGGCCTCTTCCAAGCTCACTGGTTGTTGGCAGAATTCAGTTCCTTGCAGTTATGGGACGAAGGTTCCCACTTTCTTGCTGGCAATCCATCAAGTGCCATGCTCAGTATTTAGAGGCCTCCCACTGTTCCCTCCCCTGTGACCTTCTCCACACATGCCAGTTTGCTCCTTTAAGGCCAGGAGGAGAGTTTCTCTCTGTTGGTTAAGATGAAGTTTAATATAACGTCACATAAACAAGGCAATGACAATTCTATCATATTCATGAGCCCTGCTAACACCAATGGAAGGCATGATACAGGGTGTGTAGACCAGGGGACAGAAATCTTGGGGGCTATCTGAGAAGTCTGCTTACCATCAGCAGTACACTATGCAGAAGAGTATTCATCTTCTGCAGTAGGGAATTCTACGTGATCTAGTCCCATAAGAACAGTCAAAGCATTTAGTGTTTAGTGTAGGTCTTAAGAAAGGAGGAATATAGACTTCTTCAAGCCTATTATCTTTGAGAATTTTGGAGCTAGGCAGGAACTAGCTTCTTGCCTTTCTTACCCCGGCATGGGTAGATTTATTTCCCTTGCACTAGCCACTCAGAAATGTGGCCTCTGGTATTCCAGAAAATCAGACTCAAAAGGGAATTTCCATACTGTCCTCAACACCCTTGTGCCTCACACAGTGGCACTGTGGTTTGGCATTCCTGCTGTCAGCTCATATGATAGTAAAATAAAAACAGCTTGAAAAACTAAGTTTAAGATATACTGAAAATTAATGAATCAAACTCAAGCACATGCTCAGATATCTTTTCTTCAGCAAAACTTTTCGGGCTCTACTTCAAAGGAAAATAAACCCAAATGCTCCTCCTCCATCCTCAACACAACCATCTCCCCACTCTTTCAGGCGCTTGGTTCATGCTTCTCCTGAGTCACATATTGCTTTAAAAGGCATCGTGTTGATGATGAATTGGTGAGTCATAAACATGGGGGATTAATAGTCCTTTAAATTTAGTAGCAGTTCAAAAATAAAAGTGGAAAGCACTAATTTTTCAAGCCTTAAAATGTCCAGGATATAACGAGAATTTTAAAAGTAGTCATCTTTCTCCTTATGAATGCAGTGATTATAAATTCAATTGTTTGAGCAAATATAACAATTACAAACTCCCTAGCAGCAATGCAAGTCATGAAGTGCTAATATAATAAGAATCATCATGCAAGAAGAATAAAATTACAGTAGTTACTAAGCATCGGGTGCTTACCCTGTACCACATGATCACAGCTATTGTTTCTCATCTTTACCCTGACCAGAAAGATGGTTTTATCCAGAAAAACAAAAAACAAAACAAAACAAAACAAAAAAACTGTCCTAAGTCATATAGCTGGCTAGCTAGTGGCAAAGCCTGGATTTAAGCTCAGATTTAATTCCAAGTCATGTTCCTCGCATTATGTGGTAATGCAGTCACTTGGTTTACAATTTACAGGTTCGAAGTTAAAAAAAAAAAAAAAAAGGTATTGAAGGAGACTAATACTTAATTAGTGCCTTGTATTTGCCAGGCATTATGTGTATAACACATTACACTCGGCTCTTCACATTTAGAACAATGCACAGAGCCAGCTCATAGAAGACAAATTTGTGTATATCCCTATATTAGTTTCCTGGGGCTGTTGTAACAAAGCACCACACACTAGGTGGCTTAAAACAACAGAAATGTATTGTCTTACAGTTCTAGAGGGAAGAAGTCCAAAATCAAGGTATCATCAGAACTATGTTCTCTCTGAAACCTGCAGGAGAGTCCTTTCTTGCTTCTTCTGTGCCTCTGGTGGTTTGCCCAGCAATGTTTGGCGTTCCTTGACTTGCAGCTGTGTCACTCTAATCTCTATTTTCATTATCACACAGCCTTCTCCCTGTGTGTCTCTGTCTTCAAATGGCCGTCTTTTTTTTAGACAGAGTCTTGCTCTGTCGCCCAGGCTGGAGTGCAGTGGCACAATCTCGGCTCACTGAAACCTCCGTCTCCCAGGCTCAAGCTATTCCCCTGCCTCAGCCT